GCCCGGAAGACCCACACCAGCCATCGTATGCCGGCCGTGAAAGCCTTCGACAATACACTGATCATAAACCTGTTTTTTCAGCACCGTCATAAATTTGAACGGTCACTGAATGAGTGGTTGATAACTGAGGAGTACATGTAAACCAAACAGTGACCACATGTCATCCTGCCCTTCCTTCACAGAACTTGGGTGTGAGGTTTCCCCTTTCTGGCCCTGCGGCAGCCTGGCAAAGTGATTGGGTTGAGACCTCCTGGGGTTGAGCATGGATATGAACCAGAACTCCTTAATTCTGCCTGCTTCATCATGTGCCAGCTCTGCTCTGTTGATAGATGGAAGTAGAAAATCTGGTTCTATAATAAAGCTTGAGGAGTATGGTTAATATCATGCCTACATAAATAAAAAGATTCTAGTGTATTCCAGTGATTTACGCAGTGATCAGGGCTATTATTGCAGAGAGATTTCTAGGAGCATGTTATCCTTAATGTCAGCAACTGCTTTCTCCTCCTCATTCTAGGCCAGTGGTTCTCAGCCTTTTTGAATCTGTGGCATAATATTGAATCTATCAGTAATTCTGTGGCACACCAGAAAATTATTAATTGTATATTTGTATTTTTAAACATGTAAGACATGGTTTGGGGAGAAGTTATATAATTTTTAAAAAATATCTGCACTGTATTGAATATACAGATTACACAAAATATACATGATACAAAAAAAATTGAAAAAGAAAACATAAGACAAAAATCTCATGGCACACTAGAAACAAGCCCATGACACACCTGTGCGCCACGGCATGCTGGTTGAGAACCACTGCCCTAGACCAGTGTTTTTCAACCCTAGCGACTTTCAGATGCGGACTTCAAATCCCAGAATTCCCCAGCCAGCATGCTTAAAGTTGCTGAGGTTGGGAAACATTGCTCTAGACATAAGGCTTAATGTAAATCTGTTTTATTTACTTACAACTTTGGAGGATCAGTGTCTGGCCCAATAGCCAGGCATAGATTCACTGATCCATATAGGGGCAAAGGAGAGACTTATTTAGTTTGGAAAATACATGAGATATCTGGGGCTCTTAGGCTTTTACCTCTTTTCATGGTAAAAAAGCACTTTGAGTAACCTAGGTTATCTTTTTTTTCTTTTTTGCCCCATCATTCCCTGGAATGACCATTTACCTATGCAGCGTCCCATGGCCATTCCAAGAATTGCTGCAAAGGTGAAACAGCCTGAATGCACAGGACATTTTTACTGTGAAAAGAATGAAAAAAAGCTAGGAGTTGGTTAACCTTAGTCATTTTCCTAAGTGAGGATGAATGCTTCTGGCAAGATTCATTATGAAATTCTTTAAATTACTGACTCCATAGTCAACTACATCCCTCTCTGAGCTAACCTTAAGCATTGCTGAAGATCACTGGCAACTGCTCGTCGATCTAAAATAATGTTGGATGGCCCTTTTAATTTATTTATTTTTCATTCCAATGGCACTTACCTGTCCTTAATGGAAAACAGGCATGGAACTTCCTGTGTCTACCACCCGCCCCGAGACAATGTTCGGCGATGTGGCTGTCGCCATTCACCCAGAAGACTCGCGCTACTTGGTAAGGCTCCTCTGTCCAGGTCCTCCTTTCAGAGTAAAAGGAGGCTTTGCTCCATCTTGAAGCCAGATATAATGTTGTTGTATCTTGTTTTTTTAATTTGTTTTAATTTTTTTTTATTACAAAAAAAGGAAAAAAAAATTTAAAAAGTGCTTTAACATAAAAATGAAAAAGTACAACCAAAAAAGTTAATATATCATTATAATAATACACAGTTCCAATTCTGTAGATGTTTATCTAGTACAAAAGTTATTCAAATACATATAAACAGTATTTCTAACAG